TTTGTTCCAGTTTTTTGATACCCGCAATTTTAGCATAGGGATATAAATTGATTTCTTACTAATACAATTTAAGAATAGTTAATGAAATTTTATTTAAAATGTTGAAAATTTTGAGGGAGCAATAAAAGTCAATCTAATTCTCAAGAATTTTTTGCATTCTTGCACAAAGCGAATCATCTTCCCAATTTGATACCTTTATAGTATAGATATAGTTGGAGAGTATCTAAAAATGCGACTGTTAGTTGTCTTTTGAACATATTGAGAGACATGATCCTTTACTATACCAAGACTATTTAACTTTTAAGATTTACATCAGATAATTTGTGTCATCATAATCATTATCTTATTAAGATAAGATCTACCAAAATGCTCTATCTTTTTATTTCTATAGTCTTTGCCAAGCTACAATACAATTGTCGAAAAGAACCCTATCCTTTCTTAAGAATCGACAAGATTTATGATGAATTATTAAAAATTTAATTTATATAAAATTAACCTAAAAATGATCTTATAAAGAATGCCTTAAAAATGATTTCATTTCATAACCAAGTGCTCAAACTAATATAAACTTTCGCATCTATAATTATTTGTAACCAAAAAAAATGGCAATCTATGAGTTAAGGTGAACTCTCAAAGTTATTGTTTTAAGGAAATTTTAAATTAAATTATAGGAATATGATTACTTTTCAATATTTTAGTTATGAATTAATGAATATAAATTTTCAATTCGAAACTATGATTTACTTTTCTAAGGCAATTAGCGGAACCACTATATATTGAGAAGATATTAAATGTTTCTATACAATTTCTAGTTTAATCTGCAAAAATTGAGAGATAAAATCGATTGGCCTCGCTATTTTAGAAGAGTAATATACAGAGATTTTTGAGGAGATATTTAATTAAGTTGAAAACAAAATTTTATTGCTCTTTTGATTATAGGAATGTAGTTTGGAAGTTTATTAGGCAAAAGGAATTGGTAAAAAGGATACCGAAAAAATATTTTAAATTCAATAATTAAAGTACTAGCAACTTGAGAAATTGGAGTATTTCATAAAAAAGATAATGAGAATAATTGAAATTTTTTTTTTAATTATTTAAATAATTACATTATAAAAAGAATAATTAATTAATTGTTAAATTTATATTGAAAATTATACATATAATAGAATATTTTTCATTTATTCAGTAGAATAGTATTGATCTTAGCAATTAAACGTGAAAGATAATTATAAGAAATTTCATTTATTAAAATAAATTATGATTTACTGCTAGCATCATGCTGTATTTCCAATTTCTTTCATTTGTACAGCATCGCATTAATGTCAAAGACTACTGTGCTCTGAATGCACATAAAATCATGGTGTGAATTAGAAGTTCTTATTGTATTTGAATATTTTTTCAGAGAAATTAAAAATGGCAGCACAAGAAAATAACTTTGTTAATAACAACATATAAAGACAATAAATCCACATTGGGTTTAAATCGTTATTTCATTCAATTGAAATATTAGTCAAGAAAATGGTTGAAAATTTTAATGATGAAATAATAAAGTTATTGAAATAAATCGAAATCATTGACAATAAATTTGAAACTGTCTTAACTAAAGATACCCCCCTAACTGAGTTTTCAGTCTAGGATCTAGGATTTTTAATAGATATCATAATGAACAAGAAATTATCAACTTGGAATAAATAGAAAAATTCCATATTCTAATCCTTAAATACTATACTTAAGAAATTAAATGAAAACATTCAGAAAAAATCCTTCTAAAATTATTAATAACAGTGTCTTAATTAATAAGAAAAATAGGATATCAAAGGTTTTTAAAAAAATACAACTATAAATTCAGAAAAAAAAAAAAATTTGGTAAGTAGGTACAATCGAGAAGAAAAATCGCATGTGCAATGATACCACAGGAAAATTAATCAATATTTAATTCGGCATAACATTTAAAAATGATAATAGAATAGAATATATTAAAGATGGAGCAATCATTAGGAGGTATGATTACCAATATTTATTAATCTTATTAGTGATTCGATCAAAGAAATATCAAAGAAACCTAAAGTAATGACTAATATGGATCAAATAATGAACTTGAATTGGGTTGGATAATATGGATAAAATAATTTAAAGATTGGTAAATGGACGATTAAATGGGAAGGAAAAATTTTATAAGATGTGGGAGGAGAGTACTCCGTTGATGAAAAAAAATAAGGCAAGTGGAAGGAAATAATTAAGAATTATTGGAGGTAGATTATTAACATCTATAATTCCATAGTAAAGCCTAGGTCTATAAAGTTGGAGAATATTAGAATGGATTAAGAACTGGGAAGTGGAAGTATATTTATGGAGAAAATGTTATGTATTGAAATAAATTATTGATAACTAGTGGTGGTGGNGTATTTCATAAAAAAGATAATGAGAATAATTGAAATTTTTTTTTTAATTATTTAAATAATTACATTATAAAAAGAATAATTAATTAATTGTTAAATTTATATTGAAAATTATACATATAATAGAATATTTTTCATTTATTCAGTAGAATAGTATTGATCTTAGCAATTAAACGTGAAAGATAATTATAAGAAATTTCATTTATTAAAATAAATTATGATTTACTGCTAGCATCATGCTGTATTTCCAATTTCTTTCATTTGTACAGCATCGCATTAATGTCAAAGACTACTGTGCTCTGAATGCACATAAAATCATGGTGTGAATTAGAAGTTCTTATTGTATTTGAATATTTTTTCAGAGAAATTAAAAATGGCAGCACAAGAAAATAACTTTGTTAATAACAACATATAAAGACAATAAATCCACATTGGGTTTAAATCGTTATTTCATTCAATTGAAATATTAGTCAAGAAAATGGTTGAAAATTTTAATGATGAAATAATAAAGTTATTGAAATAAATCGAAATCATTGACAATAAATTTGAAACTGTCTTAACTAAAGATACCCCCCTAACTGAGTTTTCAGTCTAGGATCTAGGATTTTTAATAGATATCATAATGAACAAGAAATTATCAACTTGGAATAAATAGAAAAATTCCATATTCTAATCCTTAAATACTATACTTAAGAAATTAAATGAAAACATTCAGAAAAAATCCTTCTAAAATTATTAATAACAGTGTCTTAATTAATAAGAAAAATAGGATATCAAAGGTTTTTAAAAAAATACAACTATAAATTCAGAAAAAAAAAAAAATTTGGTAAGTAGGTACAATCGAGAAGAAAAATCGCATGTGCAATGATACCACAGGAAAATTAATCAATATTTAATTCGGCATAACATTTAAAAATGATAATAGAATAGAATATATTAAAGATGGAGCAATCATTAGGAGGTATGATTACCAATATTTATTAATCTTATTAGTGATTCGATCAAAGAAATATCAAAGAAACCTAAAGTAATGACTAATATGGATCAAATAATGAACTTGAATTGGGTTGGATAATATGGATAAAATAATTTAAAGATTGGTAAATGGACGATTAAATGGGAAGGAAAAATTTTATAAGATGTGGGAGGAGAGTATAATTAAAAATAATATTATAATTTAAATAAATTATACTCCGTTGATGAAAAAAAATAAGGCAAGTGGAAGGAAATAATTAAGAATTATTGGAGGTAGATTATTAACATCTATAATTCCATAGTAAAGCCTAGGTCTATAAAGTTGGAGAATATTAGAATGGATTAAGAACTGGGAAGTGGAAGTATATTTATGGAGAAAATGTTATGTATTGAAATAAATTATTGATAACTAGTGGTGGTGGAAAATATAATGAATAAGGAAATAAAATGGAATAATGGGTTGAATTGAGCAGTCATTTTTGGGATCATTCGTGTGTCACTTATAAAGGTGAATATAAAAATGGGATAAAAGTCGGTTGATGGGATATTTGGTGGAGATATTAATGGGAAAATCAGAATATTAAGATGTAAGCATTAGAGAATAAATGTTGACTAGGGGTGGTGGCTCATACAATGGAGGAGGACAAAGTCTAAAGATTGGGAAATGGATTGAGTTAAGTGACTTTTTTGATGACCTGACCTAAGTTACCTATGAGGGTAATTATCATAACGGGAAAAAAATAAATAAATGGAATATCAATTTTAGATAGAGTTTGAAAAAGCCATTTGAATAGATGTAATCTAAATTTAAATTGCTCAATTTTAGTGGAGGTGGATAATATGATGAACAAGGGAATGAGAACAAAATTGGGAATTGGATTGAACTACATGATGGATTTGATAATTTGACTTAGGTTACTTATGAAGGCGAATATAATAATGGAAAAAAAGTTAACAGGTGGAATATTTATTATGAGAAAAATTAAATGTAACAATAATAAAGTTTAAGCATGCTAGTGGCGGTGGATCTTATGCATAGGACGGTAATAAGGTTGGAATGTGGAATGAGGTGAGCGATGATTTTAGACATTCCTCTTAAATCTTCCTTAATGGTGAATATAAAAATGGGAAAAAGATTGGTATCTGGAATATATATTATCAGGATAGTGATGCAAATGAAAAACAGAAGATGTAAAATTTTTAAATATTCTCTAGTGGTGGTGGGCAATATGATGAAGAGGGTAATGAAAATAAGATTGGTAAGTGGTTTGAATTAAGTGAGGGATTTAATCGATATTCGTAAATTATTTATAATGGAGAATATAAAAATAATAAAAAAGTCAATAAATGGGAAATTTAAATGAGGGACAAAATGAATGAAAATTTTGAAAAAATGTAAGATATGATACTTAATATTTGTTAGAGGTGAGGGATCATATGATGAAGGTGGAACAGGTTTTAAAATTGGGGAATGGAAAGAGTTTAGCGATTTTCCTTGGAAGAATAAATAACTAATTTCTAGTGGTTTATACTAAAATAATAGAAAAGTTGGAATATGGATAGAAACAGATTTAAAAAATAAAGAACACCATAGAGATATAAATTATGATAATTGAATAGAAATATCATTAAATTTAAGATAACTATTTTCATTTATTTTAAAAACAAATTTTTCATTCAATATCTAATTAATGGTATTTGATGTTTACTAAAGTTATTATTTTGATATTTCTGAATGGTTTTTTTCCTTATTCATCCATTATTTAAAAGGTAATAATATTAAATTTTATTAGCATAATTGCTTAGTCTTATATGTTCATCCAAAAAAAGTTTTATAGCCATCTTTAGTTTAGATGATAAGGAATTAAACTGAAAAATCAAAGAAGATTTTTGATGAAAGAATTTTAGAAAATATTTGAATGTTTTGTTAACAGTTCATTTCAAATGAAGGTTCAAGGTTAATATCAATTTGATTAGAAACAGTTATATCTTATTATCTGTAAATTTATAATAATTTATTGAGCATGAAATCAATCTAGATATCAGAGATTCTGCAAAATGACATTTTGGTAAGGGAATCGATATACATTGATGGTCAAAAAAGAAAAATCATTGAATTAACATTTAAAATGGATGGTCTATTTTGAGAATCCTAACATATTGGAAATCTTACTTTAAAACACTGATTAGGTTAGAAATAGATTAGGTTATGAAGTAGAGTTGATTAATTGATATATGTTTTTGTAAAAATGGATGATATTTAACTTTCAAGGATTTAAGAAAGAATGGCTTATTAATATTAAGTCAAAAACTCCGTATTTCTTGATAGATATTGATGTTATAAATCTAGCCAGCGCTTATAGATCTATAGGCTTTATGAATATATCACAAATTTGTGTATCATTTTAATTTAGAATAGTACATATTTAATATTCATTTATAAGAAATTTTTTATTCTTTTTACTACTGGAGTATCTTGTTTAAAGTATATGTATACATTAGCGCTGTTAGATATATTTTGAAAAATACTGCAAATAATAATCAGATAAATAGTATTATTTTTGATTTGGTTTCAAACAATAAAATGTATTCACTCTTAGGTTTTATAAGAGAGGTTTATTAAAAATAAAAAAATCCTTAAGGTATACATGACAACTCATTTAAAATAATACTAGAATATGTTCTTGTATTTTAAGTATAAACATGTCGTAGTATATAGAGTTTCAGGGTGAAAGTGCTTGATTAGATTACTTTGGTCAAATTAGAAAAACTATAAAAATTTAATCTTTATCAATTAAATTAGAAATCTAATCACACATTAATATGAAAGTATAGAAATAATAGGTAAACTATAAAGAAAATATTGAGCATATATATAGGAAGCTTTGAATTTCTAAGGTATGGTTTAACTTCTTGGTAAATTTTTTGTGGCTAAAATTTGCAATAAATGAGTATATTCTAACTTGACTAAAATTTCTTTCTTCCTTTCAATTTTTTTTATTAAAGTTAAATCGAAATCCTTCTTAAATTTTATAGTCAAAATCAATTTTTTTTATTGTTTTGCATTTTCTTTAAGATCTACAAACATATCATTATAATAGGAAGTAATGTATTAAAGTTGTATATGAGATATCATTTCTTGGAATATATCCTAAATGCTAAAAGAAAGAAAGCTTTCTATATCAATAAAAATTTGAAGTGTGCCTAATTCAAAATTTACCCTCTACAATAGATATTATTAATGTTTGACAGCTAATCTTTCTTAAGTCTTAAGCTATATTTTGCAAAATCAAAACCAACCAATTCATGCAATTTACTTTCAATATATACTTTGAATTATTCGAAATTATTATTTTTTTAAGTTATGAAAGTATAATTATGGAGCTAGAATTAACCTAAAGCTATTGTGCATTATCCTGTCAATATTATACTCAATTTTATTAACGAGGTAATCTCATTAAAGAATTTCATGGAGACTTCAAAAAATAAAAAATTTTAATTTTTAGAATTTAAATATAGCCCTCATTTTAGATCTATTGATAAATAAATTAATTATCACTGTTGTTTACCATAAGCAAAACTTTTGATACTATTTGTTAATTTTAGTCATTTTATTTATCTAATTTGATTTCAAATTTTGATATTATCATTTCGTTCTTTGGCATCTTTTATTTTCGCATAACAAAAGTTCTTACTTTTTCTGCATTTAATTTAAAATGTTTTGCTTTGAATGATAATTAAACCTTTGATCAAGACGTTGATTTATATATCACACTATATTTATTTATTTCAAGTGTGTGCATGCACTGGTACTAAACCTGTTTAGATTATAGAAAATCCTATGCCAACCATTAAAAATAATATATTTCATAATTTGCTAAAATTTCATGAGTAGAAAAGACTTATAGAAGTGGTATGCTCAAATTATATACATCTTGAACCATTCTCTTACCGATTGTTCTGTAAAACCAAATAACATCAGGAAGTTAAATTAAAAAATCATTGAGGGAGATTTAGAATATATGTATGTAAACATTTTTAATTATGAATTCTTTAAGAGCCAAAATAATAAAAATTCAGCAATACCTTATTTTTCCTCAGTTGTTTGGAGTAAACTTAAATTTCTTTTTATAAACCATAAAATCTATATTCTCCTAACATTCCGCTCAAAATAATCAAGATATAAATTTAACTGATATCATTTGACTTATACTGATGTAAAATTTTTGCAAAAGAGTTTTAGTTTATTTTCTAAATAGAGTTGAGATAATAATAATTATATATCCAATATCATTAAATAAATGATAAGACATTGATTTAAGGTTTAACAGAAAGCGTTACTTAAGAAAAAATCATTGCTACATAAACTTGAATAAATCCTAATAAGAATATAAAATAATTATAATCCAAATATGTTAATGCTTCATAACTTTGATAGTTAGTTCAATATATAAATCTTTTCATTTGATACTATTTCCAAAGCATCCAAATAATATTTTTTAGCTTCTGATGATTTTCCTAATTAAAATAATGAATCAGCTAATTATAAATTAATGGTTGGTATACCTTTAATTTGTAATCGATTATGAGCAGTTTGTAGATTAAGGGCTTGATCAAAACAGGATGTTGCATCGTTATATTTAAATAACTTTTGTAGTGTCAAACCTAAATTTTAAAAAGGCTTACCCTTGTTATACCATGCCTATTCGTTTTGTTTATTAATAGCAATAGCTTTGTCATAGCATTCAATTGCTTCTTTATATTTTCTCAAATTGTATAATGCAAAACCTAAATGAAAATGCTTAAAGATTAACTACCTTTGTTATTATAAGAGGAATCAAATTTTGGATTAATAGCAATAGCTATGTCATAACATTTAATTGATTCTTGATATTTATTCTAATCGGCTAATGCATTTCCTAAAAATGAATCCTGATTAACTACCTTTGTTATTCCATGCTAAATCATATTTTTAATTAATAGCAATGGCATTGTCGTAACATTAAATTGCTTCTTAATTTTGATTCAAATTTTATAATGCCAATCCTAAATATTAATATTTAATGATCAACTACCCTTGTTATACCAAGCGTTATCAAATTTTTTCTCAATAGCAATAGCTCTGTCATAGCATTAAATTGCATCTTGTGGTTTATTCAAATTTTATAATGCCAAACCTAATTAAATAAATTTCATAATTAGCTACCCTTGTTATACCATGCATTATCATAATTTAAATTAATAGCAATAGCTTTGTCGTAACATTCAATTGCTTCTTGATATTTATTTAAATCGTCTAATACATTTCCTAAAGAAAATTCTTAAACAATTAAATACCTTTGTTATTCCATGCAGAGTCAAATTTTGAATTAATAGCAATTGCTTTGTCGTAACATTCAATCGCTTCTTAATATTTATTTAAATTGTATAATGCATTTCCTAAATAATAAGGTTTAATTAACTACCCTGGTTATACCATGCGCTATCATATTTCGGATTAATACAAATAGCTTTATGGTAGCATTCAATTGCATCATGATATCTCTTCAAATCGTCTAACGCCAAGCCTAAGTAACATTGTTTAAAGATAAACTACCCTTCTAATACCATGCATGTTCATATTATGGATTAATAGCAATCTCTAAGTTATAACATTCTATTGCTTCTTGATATTTATTTAAATTGAATAATGCATTTCCTAAAACATAATTATAAATGATTAACTACCTTTGTTATACCAAACGTTATCATATTTAAAATTAATATCAATAACTTTTTCATAACATTCAATTGCTTCTTGATATATTTTCAAATTTTTTAATGCATTTCCTAAATAATGAAGTTTAACAATTTACTACCCTTTTTATACCATGCGCTATCATATTTTGGATTAATACAAATAGCTTTATGGTAACATTCAATTGCATCATGATATCTCTTCAAATCGTCTAACGCCAAGCCTAAGTAACATTGTTTAAAGATTAACTACCCTTTTAATACCACGCATGTTCATATTATGGATTAATAGCATTTGCTTTGTCGTAACATTCAACTGCTTCTTGATACTTATTCAAATTGTATAATGCATTTCCTAAAATAATACTGTTTAAAGATTTACTACCCTTATTATAACTTGCAGAATGATTGTTTGGATTAATAGCAATAGCTTTGTTGTAGCATTCAATGGCTTCTTGATATTTATTCAGATTGTATAATGCATTTCCTAAATATAATTCTAATCATTAAATACCCTTTTTATCCCATGCAGAATCATATTTTACTTAAATTTCAATAACTTTGTCGTAACATTCAATCGCTTCTTAATATTTATTTAAATTTTATAATGCATTTCCTTAATAATAATTTTTAACAATTTACTACCCTTTTTATACCATGCGCTATCATATTTTGGATTAATACAAATAGCTTTATGGTAGCATTCAATTGCATCATGATATCTCTTCAAATCGTCTAACGCCAAGCCTAAGTAACATTGTTTAAAGATTAACTACCCTTTTAATACCACGCATGTTCATATAATGGATTAATAGCATTTGCTTTGTCGTAACATTCAATTGCTTCTTGATACTTATTCAAATTTTATAATGCATTTCCTAAAATAATACTGTTTAAAGATTTACTACCCTTATTATAACTTGCAGAATGATTGTTTGGATTAATAGCAATAGCTTTGTTGTAGCATTCAATGGCTTCTTGATATTTATTCAGATTGTATAATGCATTTCCTAAATATAATTCCAATCATTAAATACCCTTTTTATCCCATGCAGAATCATATTTTACGTTAATAGCAATTGATTTGTCGTAACATTCAATTGCCTCTTGATATTTAATCAATTTTATTAATGAATTTCCTATTTGAAAATGTTTACCAATTAAATACCCTTGCAATACTATGCGCACTCATTTTATTGGTTAATTGTAATAGCTTCGTCGTAACATTCAATTGCTTCTTGATATTTATTAACATTATGTAATGCCAATCCTTTTATCTAATGATATTCATATACCTTCACTAACATGTTTTTCAGATTATATTATGTTCTATTTCTTTTCATCATTACCCATCTAAATTTCTTTAATGATGATTTTTTTTTTCTCTAACTTACCAGAACCTATTTAACTGCTGTTTAAATCTCTTACCATATTCTTAATTGTTATAAGAATATCATTATATTCTATTATTCGTTTTTCTATTAATATTACTCTAATGAATACATATTTAATTTTCATTTTCCTTTGAGAATTACTTTTTATTAATGTTGATTTATGACTTTAAGGTTATATATTCCTTGGTTTCAAGTTGATGTTTCATATTTTCTAATTTGTTAACATCTTATTCGATTATTTTAAAAACCTATTCAAAACAATTTTAAACTGATTTTGAGATTTCTTTGAGTTATTTAGTTGATTGATTGTAAGCTTCTATGAATTCATTAATGGAATCACTCATTTTAGAGAATCGAACGCAATCATTTTAATGCTATGAATGAATAGAAGTTAAACATTCATAACAATATTAAGTTGCATATTAACAATCCTAATTCAAGCAAAATCCAATAATTTCTTCATTTTCATGAGATATGAATCTACACTTAAAGGTGTCCATTTAAATCTAAATAATTGAAATAATAATAATTATCAATTCATTATTTTACAATTATATAAGAACATGTTCTTCATAATTGTCAATTTGCACATCAGATGGAACTACATTCTCAAAGAGTTATATAGAAAGCATCAGCACAAGATGTATATAGATTACATACTTTTCGATCTGAAGAATTCAAATATGGAACAAATTAAATGCAAGCAAGCTCCATCATATCCTGTAACACAACTTCCATCAGTGTTGGTTTCTGAACATAAAGTAATTCAGCATGAGTAAATTCTACTAAGCTCTTAGCAATCGTAATCTCTGCATTTATTTAATACACCACCACAAACGGATATTGTACCATTCAAAGCAGTTGTGCAAGCAGCATCAATGGTGACAGCTGAACAAGTTGATTTAGTGACTCATCCACCAATATTTGTTGTACGATTTGTAAAATAATCAGCACATGCAAATTCGCTTGTAATACTCTCAAATTGTAAAATTACAATAAGTAGGAGAAGTTACTACATTTGATCCATTAAAAACAACTAGTATTCATTCACATTACTAACCTGTTGCAGATAAAATAGATTCAGCTTGACTTAAAGCTTAGATGCATATTCCTCTTTTGACACAATTTATTCCATTTGTTGTGTATTAATCATTAGCTTGTTTACATAAAGCATCTGTGGAAAAGGTAAAATCTTCTCAAACCTTTGTTTTGCATTTAACATTATCTGAAGCCAGTGCTGTGTATCCTGAACACTGAGCATATTATTATACACAGCCACTTCTTGCTTGATTGGCACTGCATCCTCTGTTATAAGACTATAGGTTATTGTTCCAGCTGTACCAGTTATTTTAGCACAATCAGATACAACATTTAATATTGTCATACAAATAGAACCTTTTAAATAACATTTTGAAGTAGCAGTTCTTGTACAATTTAAGGTTGAACCTGCATATTATTTACAAGTTAATTTGAGGTCTTAGCATTTGGATCCATCAAAAACCAATGTACAATCTGTGCTATAGTCTTAACATTCAGTGATCCAGTCCTAATCCTAATAACGAACTATAATTAGGACCTGATAATGTTTGACAAGAGGTTTAAGGGCCAATTACAGCTGAATTCCAAAAGCATTTTACCGGCATAGCAGCATTAGTGATCAATCAAGTTCCAGCTGTTGTATAGCCTGCCCATGTAGCAGCTTTAGCATAACAGCTAGTTCCTGTTGCATCAAGAATATAAGCAGCATTTTTTGAATTGCTTTTTGAATCCGTCAATCCTGTTGCTGTGATTAATTAACATTATGTAGCAGGATCTGTTAGAATAACACAGGATGAAGCTGTCCATAAAAACTATACTGGTGAAGAAAACATCCTGTACTGTCTTTTAAAGCTGTGCATGAAGAGTGATATAGTTAACATTTCGAATGATCTAAACCTGAGAACCCAGTTACCAATACACATTCAGTACCAGCTGACACTGAATAAGAGCTATACGAACCATTTAATTTGCAATAACTTGCTTTTCCTCATGCGCTTGACCTGAAATAATTTGGTGCAGTGGTTCCATATCCAGTACCGTCTTTTTTACTGAACATGTATTGATGAAATATAGAATAAACCTTGTGATTATTAATATTTTTCATAGTCTGATCTAAGCTGTTTATAGATTTAAACAATTAGGGTTTGCTATGTCTTTTTGTAATATACAGATTGCTTAGATAGATTAATTACTTTTGTAAAATCTTAATTTAATACTAAAGCAATGATCTTATCTAAATTTCTAATCTGCTATTTTACAAAATTTGTTTAATATATTTAAACACTATTTCTTATTACGAGTGCATTAGAATCTTAAGCCTAACAATCTTAAAATGTTAAACTTGATCCAGGTTTTAAAGTGCAATCTAAAGTACAAACTGTTGATACTGTTTGAACTCGTAATGTTTGTACATCCTGTTGTATATCATTAAAACATAGTTTAATTACACTTAAATGAAGTGCAGGCTCCAGGAACAAAAGTGGATATAGCCTGGCATCTGTTTTAAATCCACTTGCAATAGTCATTGACTGTTAAATTTGTAAGTAAGCTCAACTTTATAGACAACATGCAGGTTTCCGTTTGTGTCAAGTAACCAAAAAATTCTGAATCAGTATCAAAATGATTTTATCTGGATCATCAATCAAATAGCATTTCTACAAGCCAATCCATTCCAAACACAATTCGTGTATGTTGATGTTAATTTACAATTTTCTTAAGTTTAATACGATGTGCAATCATCTTCTAGTGGTTAACAAGCAGTACCTCCATTATTCACTGTACATTAATTAGATAGACTAAAACAATTGTTTATTATATAGTTAAATAATAATATTAGGGTTAAGAACTGTTAGGATTATGAATTACACTCAGATTTCCAAATGGAATTCAAGGATAATTAAATCTCATGCTATTTCTCATATTACCAAAATTAATTGGTAACCTAGAACATTGAGGTTGCTATGTTTTATTTTCATATTATAATTTAAAAATGAGATAATTAGGTAAAATTTTGAAATTACTTTATAAACAGAACAATTAATTATATATTTAATGACATTATTTTAGATTAAAATTTTTTTATTAATATTAGTTATTAAATTTCTAATAGAATTCATCATCAACAATTTTGATTCCTCAATTTATATTTAGTTGTTCTTGGATATATGAGAATGAAAAGAAAGCAAAATATTTAAATTATTAAAATACTATTCTTAAGCTACTAGCTTGTTTTAATTATATGTATTTGCAATGATATTTTTTCATTTGATATCTAATTTTATGCAAATAATTGGAAATTTTATTCAATATCATCATAATTTTATAATTCTAATTCATATTCAATTAATCCTAATTATACTTAATAAGAATTAAAGAAAATGTAATGAGTAGTATTTAGTCTTTTTATTTGCATTTAAAATATCAATTTATGAAAATAATCGTAAAATGTTCCATTCTCTTGATGTTGATAAAATTGAGAGCCAGGATCTTCCTTTTATTTTAACACTAAAAGAGTATCATCTAGATATTAAAGATCACAACCTTGATTTGACCTAATATTAAAATTCCTAAATTACTATTTTTATTTTAATTAAATTTAATTCTTTTGGAGATCTAAATTTAACTAAAGTAATTATGAAAAAGCGTAATTCATTATGAAAAGTTTAATATAAATTAAATCTCCAGAATATTTACATTAGACTAATTTCATTAAGAATTCAGATTTAGCATAATTTCGAAAATTTATCAATTCCGCTTACATTTTTTCATTAATTACTAAAGAGTATATTTATTATTTTTGATTTAAATTGATCGAGTATATAGTTATTTCTAAATCATCTGAATCCATCTTAGAGTTCTATAGAATGAGATATTAATTATTAGATTCTTCAATGTATTGTATATCTATAGTCTTGTCAGGTAACATTTATATCTAAAAATTGAGATCCTCAATAAAAATAAAAGCCGTATACTTGTCACCTTTAAGTATTATTAGATTACCAACTCTTATTGTTTTCGAAATATTAATATCTTTTATTTTGACATCATGATTAACATTTGAGATCATTTAACAATTTTTATTTTCTTTTTCAGAACATTCAATTAACTCAATATTTAGAAAATCAAATTACAATGAAACACAAAGAAAATATTCCTATTTTATCCAAGTTATATAATAATTATTAATTGAATTTATTGTTATTACTTCCAAAATGTAATTTTCCTCAACAAACACTGTAAACATTTATTCTTTAAAGTGATATCCTCTAATACAGAATGTTGAGGTTTAAAAATTACATTCTTATATATCTTATTTAATTTGAATAGGTCCTTTCAAAATAATTTTTGAATTATCTAAAAGTGTCAAATTGCTGATTGGACCATAAAACATCTCAGAAACATTCAATTTTACACCTTTATTATTTTGGATGTTAATTATAGGTGATTTCATGAGAGAATGTAACTGAAAGCAATGATTTTCGACTTAAATCTTTAAGTCAATAGCACCCTCCTTTTTATTGCTCATTGAAAAGTATGATGTCAAGACATTTTAATGAATTTTTTCCATACTTATATCGACAAGAAATTGATTAAAGAATGAATACCTCCATACCTTTTCGAATGAATAAAATAACTTTTGTTCATGAAATTTAAAAAAAAAATCATCAGTTTCAATAATTTCCTTTAATATTAACTAGTAATTATTATATTAAAAAATGGCTATATTTAGCGAACTATTTTATTCGATTAAAATAGCTAAATTACCTGTTAATGTTGTGTACTTAAAAGGATAGTAAAATGAATAGTTCTAAAGAGTATAATTTTAAATTTAATGTAATTCTTAATCATGAAAATAATGTAAAATTAAGGATCTAGTTGAATTTTGTATTGCAACTATCAGATAAGAGCTAATTAAATTTTAAGGTTGAATATAAATAATTATTGAATCTGCAAATTGAAAACATCTTAAATTTTCTTTATTTTAAATCGCTAAAGTCTTTGCATATTGAATAAACTTTAAGTTTCCAATTTCAACATAATATAAAATAGGTTCAGGTTAATAGAGATTTTTTGATAGATAATTATTCAATGAGGCTTACTATTAATTCATTATTATAAGAAGAGGCAAATTTGAACTGTTAGTATAAAAAAATAGATTTTAATGAATTTGTTAAAAGCTAGTAAACACTCCATTTAATTTGACATTAAAGTTTTGAAGAGATTTTGAAAAAAATTAAACACCTCTCAAAACATTAGTATTATTTCGATTCACAAAATAAAAGGCCATTTTAGATTCAAGTACATAATATTAATCTAAGTTTATTGAAACTTAAAATTAATTTTATTTGCAATTATAAATGTAAAAAAATGATTCATATTGAAAACATATGTACTAATCTATTATTTCTTTTAGCTAAATCTTATTATATAAATACTATTTATAAAGTCTTGTTAAACAATTGTGTTGAAAGACTTAATATTTCGCGATACTTACCTTAAGACTGCCTTCACTACTTTATAAACTGTAAGTACTATTTGTAAAATAATTAGGATAATTGAACTTCCAGACTATTTATTACTTGATTTAACAATTATTTTCCAAAATCATCAACTCGGTCATCTCCTATATTTATTTTTAAGTGTTATTTTTGTATATAATTCTATAACAGTTAATAACAGCATTTGTTTTAAACAAATTCTTTTTCTAAACAACATATATATACTTCTATTTAGGTTTTATTAAATCACTTAATGGTTAATATTTATAAAATTATAACACCTTATTGGCCCAATCATATTAGCAGAACAAATTATCAAAATCAAAAAAATACAATGAACTGTTGCAAATTTGATAAGTTTGATTAATGTTTACATTTATTAATACAATTAATTCAGATTTGTTTTATAGGAAAATAAGATTTGAATGAAAGTTAATATTATCAAATGGATATTGTTAATTCAGTATAACATGTTATGTAATTTCATTTTAAATTAATGAGGAATCGCTTTTATTTAATCCATTGATCACTTAAATTATAATTTCACATCTTTATTACATTATCAGTTTTTGAATTCTATTTGCTTGGTATATTAATATATAATTTAAGATTTTTGCTTCTTATGAATTCAAATTCACATACAGATAAAAATTATTTTCTATCAAATAAAGAGCGGAAGCAAGATCATTATGTTCGCAAAAAGATATATCATCAATGTAAGAGAGGCTTAATAGCTAAACATCCTAATTTTTCATTTAAGCATCGAGTATAGTTTTAGCTTGATTGTTTTTAATAAACATAATTTTCCATCTCTAACATTGATAAAACACACTTATATATTAACTTGAATTCAAAAATTTTATCAATTTTTTTTTGCATTAATCCTATATTTGATCTGACACATTATGCTCAAAAATTAAAAATATATTGCTTTGGAAATGCAATGAATATTATTTCAGGGTAGTTTAACTGAGACAAAATAAACTCAAACTTCCATCATCGTTTGTAAATAGTTCATCACAGAGTTCATTAGCTAATATTTTCGTTTCCATTCTAATTAATTCACTATAATTAGTTTATTCCTCATACAAAATTAAGTCAAATACCATACAAGTGATATAATATTAAAGATTAACAAATAAGGAGCACATCAACTTTTCTTATATTTTAGTTTGATTCAAGGAATTTATGACTCTTATTAAGATTGGTTCTTGTTAATATGGAATTTAGAATGACTTTTATACAACTTGAGTATTGATGTGGTCAAGTTTCTAATAATCTTCTTCATCTCCTTCTAATATATAACAGCTTGATAAAAATTATTCACACATAATATATGGTTGTATTTAAAATTCAGCGCACTTTGAATTTAAATAACTAATTAGACACCCTAATAATATAAATACAGCCTTCATATTATATAAAAAATTAAAATATATTCAGAATGGGAATGATTAAAAAATATATCCAAAAATAATTATCTACGTATCAGTGTTCCCAATTTCAATTTCATGCAAAGACTTTATGAGTTTTCACTGGAAGTTTAATAAACATAGTAAACTTATTATATTATCATCTGATTACAAGATCTCAATGGCTCATATATTATCTAAAGGTCGTACAAATATTATTAAAATAGTTTTGTTATTATCATGACCTTTTCTATTTCACTTACCTTTACTTTGTAAGGGATATTAAGACATTAAAAAATTGATTTGTATGAAAGATGGGTCTACTCAAAGTTAAATCATTTAAGATGTGTTCCAAATCTTCATGTGGATTTTAAGTAGCTGCACCATTAAGAGTGTATAATCACATAGACATTATAGATATGTAGATTTTTCTAAACTTTTGATTATTTAAAAAAAAGATATAATTCTATTAAACATTTGAAAGAATATTAAGTATTAAAATTTATGTATTTATGAGAGAGTTTAATATTTTCCGACTTTGGATTAAGATGGGAAAAATTGGAGCTTTATTATGTTACTATAGAATTTTATTATTTACAATATAATAAATATAAAATAGATTATAAAGTATTGTTAACGATATAGAATTCAAGTTTAATAAAAGTAGTATACAATTATAATATTTTCTTTCGATTAAAGTAACTATTCAAGTTTAAGCATTTTAATAATTACTAAACTCATAACAATTATTAGCCAGTTCTTAAAGTAATGAATACGTTCTACCAACCTCAAGCGATTACTTGAGCTCAACTACCTATTTAATAGTTTTCTGTTAGGCTTTTTAGAACACAGGTTGCCTTTTCAAATGTTATTCCTCTACAATAGTGAAAAGGCGTTAATTACTTAAAGTCTGATGAGTATATCAATTTACTTTGTCTAGTTGTCTTCTTCCAATTTTTCCTAATACAAGAGTTAGGAGTTAGACTAGTCTTATATGGCTCCTTCAATTGGACAATCAATTTTCTGATATGCTTACCTGTATTAAATTGTTTTTCCATCCCAGAAATTTATGCATCATATATTTACTGAGAATTACTATGGTAAAAAGCACCAGGGGTGAACTTGCCCAAAACCATAGCTGTATATATAAACTAACTGGCCAGGTCTTTAGAACTCTGTTATAAAGAAATTCTCATTCCTCTTTTTAATTAAGGTAAAGATAACTCAATTATTTAATGTATTGCAAAATTTATTAAATAAAAGCTTTATGTATTTGAACTTAAGACAGGATGATAATTTACAAAAATAAATTTTCATTATTGGAATATCAACGAATGTATACTTTCTATCCCCTTTTTAATTTCTACATTAGTTTAACATGGAATGTTAAAGCATAATGTATCTTTTTATTCAAAGGACTGTTACTACTTAACTTATGTTTATATTTAAATTACTTTAGAAAGTTTTAGAAGGTCATATTGTAGCTCTAACTATCATGCAATTTTTGATAATCCTTAAATTATCAATATTAAATAGATGGTCCATTTTTTAAAATATCAAATTAATAAAATTTAGATAAGACTGCCTTTTGAACTTAGTGAATTAAAACACCATAGCAAATATAAATTTTTGATATAAACATAGATGAATAACAAGAGCATTTTTGATTAGTCTAGAAACTTATTCTTAACATTAGTTTGGTTCTTTAAATGTATAATAATAATTTAGATAGTCTAATGTGCTTCGATTTTGGCTAAGGATTTAAAAATAGAATTCAAAAGTTGATATATACTCTTTCTTAACAATCAAATGGTTATAACACAATACATAAATTCTACCAGTTTTGTAAATGCTTTAATTTCCTCAGGATGTCCATAAATTTTGAAATTAGAGTTATATAGATTACTATAGTGAATGAAAGCAAAAATCAAATTAAATTTACTAATATTTATGCGAAACTCTTATATCTACATCATACTTAAGTTGATGTTTAATATGTTAAAGCTATATCTTTATTTTATAATTATATTAATATTTGTTATTTGCACTTCAGATTATTATTATTCTTGGCACTGGGTTGTAGCATCTCGAAACGGAAATACTATAACATAACCACAGAATTATAGAAGATTTCAATCATTTATGAACTATTTTTGTTAAGTTTTTTGGAAGATTGTTTCGTCCCATTTATATGTAACGTTTATTGGAAGTGGAGATAATTTCTAGAGAATACAGAGAATAGGATTTATAAATTATTTTCATAAAGAACTAGTGAAACCCCATTACAAACTGTTTATTTGGACTTGATAATATGATTCAATCGTTGTAGTCTAAATAGAATTCAAAGTTAAAATAAAACACCTTATTAGAAATGAAGAAGATTTCATAAACCTGTCATTTAGACTCATTTTTTTTTTATCATAAATTATTATTCTTTTATTAAAGTGTNGGTAAAAAGCACCAGGGGTGAACTTGCCCAAAACCATAGCTGTATATATAAACTAACTGGCCAGGTCTTTAGAACTCTGTTATAAAGAAATTCTCATTCCTCTTTTTAATTAAGGTAAAGATAACTCAATTATTTAATGTATTGCAAAATTTATTAAATAAAAGCTTTATGTATTTGAACTTAAGACAGGATGATAATTTACAAAAATAAATTTTCATTATTGGAATATCAACGAATGTATACTTTCTATCCCCTTTTTAATTTCTACATTAGTTTAACATGGAATGTTAAAGCATAATGTATCTTTTTATTCAAAGGACTGTTACTACTTAACTTATGTTTATATTTAAATTACTTTAGAAAGTTTTAGAAGGTCATATTGTAGCTCTAACTATCATGCAATTTTTGATAATCCTTAAATTATCAATATTAAATAGATGGTCCATTTTTTAAAATATCAAATTAATAAAATTTAGATAAGACTGCCTTTTGAACTTAGTGAATTAAAACACCATAGCAAATATAAATTTTTGATATAAACATAGATGAATAACAAGAGCATTTTTGATTAGTCTAGAAACTTATTCTTAACATTAGTTTGGTTCTTTAAATGTATAATAATAATTTAGATAGTCTAATGTGCTTCGATTTTGGCTAAGGATTTAAAAATAGAATTCAAAAGTTGATATATACTCTTTCTTAACAATCAAATGGTTATAACACAATACATAAATTCTACCAGTTTTGTAAATGCTTTAATTTCCTCAGGATGTCCATAAATTTTGAAATTAGAGTTATATAGATTACTATAGTGAATGAAAGCAAAAATCAAATTAAATTTACTAATATTTATGCGAAACTCTTATATCTACATCATATAGATGTATTATTTTTAGTTCAATAATTTACTTTTATTGTAGGTGTACTTAAGTTGATGTTTAATATGTTAAAGCTATATCTTTATTTTATAATTATATTAATATTTGTTATTTGCACTTCAGATTATTATTATTCTTGGCACTGGGTTGTAGCATCTCGAAACGGAAATACTATAACATAACCACAGAATTATAGAAGATTTCAATCATTTATGAACTATTTTTGTTAAGTTTTTTGGAAGATTGTTTCGTCCCATTTATATGTAACGTTTATTGGAAGTGGAGATAATTTCTAGAGAATACAGAGAATAGGATTTATAAATTATTTTCATAAAGAACTAGTGAAACCCCATTACAAACTGTTTATTTGGACTTGATAATATGATTCAATCGTTGTAGTCTAAATAGAATTCAAAGTTAAAATAAAACACCTTATTAGAAATGAAGAAGATTTCATAAACCTGTCATTTAGACTCATTTTTTTTTTATCATAAATTATTATTCTTTTATTAAAGTGTACTTTACTAGATTACTGTACTAGATTGAATCAATAAATCCAAATTTTTACTTAAACTTGAATAATAGGATATTAGATGAGGCTCACGTGACTAGAAAATTATCATAAGAATATAAACTATAAGCTATATATTTTTGTATAATTAAAAAAAGTAATTTTTGAAAAGTGGTTGATTATCACGAGTTTTAATTTCAATTTTTGTTTATTACTGAGAGAGAAAAGAAATTTTTAAATTTGCCTAACTGATATTTACTTTTTAATTTAAAATTAACTGAATAAAAGGATTCATAATCTCATATGAACAAGATAATTATATATCAGTGTATAAAAATATTGAATACAATGTTTAAGGAACGTTTAGACTTGATTAATTCAACATTTTGAAATCATAGAGGATTATTATATAAAAATTGAATATTATTTAATAAGAGTATCATATAATATTTTCAAAATAAATTGACAATAAAAGAAGGGAAGATTTATTTCAACGCTCATAACAAAAAGAATAATTTAATTTAATATATTGGATATTGATAGAATTAATATAATTAAAAGGTGTTAATGATTAATAGAATTTAGATAATTAAAAAGGTTCGAATAATACAAATTAGAGATATAAATATTAAAAATGATATAGAAATTTAATCTAAAGTTAAGATGTTAAAAAGATGATCATAATGATGAGATAGACATATTTTGTTATAATTAGTTTTGTAAAGAATTCAGATTAAGTTGTTTTGAATGCATTAAGAATGGTTTCCATCGTGCTCATTTGAATGACGTAGGAAAATTAAATAATCTTGAAGAATATATTGAAAACAAAAATAAAGAATGTGATGATTTGATTGATGAACTTAATTAACTTGTAGAAAGCTTGAATCAATCATTTTCTTTATTGAAATTTGGAATTAGAAATAAATATTCAGTTTTAAAGGAAAAATTACTAAATCTAAATTAGTAATAAATAAATGATTTCTTGAATTCAATCATCTAATTTACCGAATACAAATAATTAATTACCACCATCGTTTCAGAATAGATAAAGAAATTAAATAATACATTTAATAATTTATATGGGTAATTATAGTTATCATCATTTAATTATTAAATTTAAGATAACAATATAAAACTATCAAAAGAGTTTGATGAAAGAGGTAATTATACCATAATGATATCATAGGTTATCAATTATATATGGATGATAAGTATAACTAAGCCATAGAGTTATTTGATAAATCAATATAATCTGATCCTAATAATCATTTTTCTTTATAGTTGAAAGGTAAAAGTAATAGATTATTAATAGGCGAATGCTTAAGATAATTAAATCAATTTGAGAACGCAATTACTTGGCTGGATAAAGCATTAACTATAAACCCTAAGCATTTTGATTCTTTATTCATCAAAGGTAAATTTATTGACAATTAAATTAATAGGCGACTGTTTAAAATTATTGAATCAATTTGAGAATGCAATTACTTGGTTAGATAAGGGATTAGCTATTAATCCTTAGCATTTTAATTCTTTATTCATTAAAGGTATATTAATTGATAATTAAATTCATAGGCGAATGTTTAAAATAATTAGATCAATTTGAGAATGCCATCACTTGGTTGGATAAAGCATTAGTTATTAATCCTTTTCATTTTGATTCTTTATTTATTAAAGGTAGATTGGTTGATAATAAATTAATAGGGGTATGTTTAAAATAATTAAATCAATTTGAGAATGCAATCTTCTGGTTAAATAAAGCATTAACTATCAATCCTTCGCATTTTGATTCTTTATTCATTAAAGGTAGTTTGATTTACTTTTAAATTAATAGGAGAATCATTAAAATAATTAAATCAATACGAGGATGCCATCACTTGGTTGGATAAAGCATTAGTCATTAATCCTTAGCATTTTTATTCTTTATTCATTAAAGGTAGATTGGTTGATAATTAAACGGTTAGGAGTATGTTTAAAATAATTAGATCAATTTGAAAATGCAATCATTTGGTTAGATAAAGGTTTATCCATAGATCCTAAGCACGTTTGTTCCTTAAGCATTAAAGGTAGTCTGATTGATAATTAAATTAATAGGCGAATGTTTAAGAGTATTAAAACAATATGAGAATGCGGATTTAAACACATATATACTGGTACAAGACTAATACAAATATAATGAACCACTTATTGATTATGAAAAATCTTTGAAGTTAGAACCCAATGATCAATAAACAAAAACCTAAATTAGTATCCTTAACTTTTAAAATTAGATGTTTAAAAAGTAAATGAGAAATGACTATTAATTTTACATAGAATAAAATCTTATTTTCATTTTATTATATGGCCTTTTATTTTCTTGATATATCAAGGTAATCGATATTTTTTTGGAATTTTATTTGATTTTTGCAATCTATAAATAGCATAATCGCTTTTCATATGACTACTTTTAGACAATATTGATAGTTGCAGTATTCACTTGCTGTTCTAGAAAAAAGACTTTAAAGCAAAAATAACCTCAGTAGTCACAAATTAAAATAGGCACTAATGTATGGTAGTTTTAGCCTCTTCATATTTATAAACTATTTGAATAAAACAATTTTTTTTGGGAATTAGCAGGACAAATTATTAAAAGAAGGAATCAATGAGTCAATTTTGAATTGTCATATCGAATATATCATTAAATATACAAAGACATTATTCTGGTTAGAGACCTTTATAATCATTTTAACCTATCTATAGCATTTAAATAATTAATTGTTAATTTAATGAGAAAATAATTTAGGAAACTTGGAAAAGGAAAATTTGCAAAGTTATCTCTATTGATATTTTATTTAGAGTAAATTGAGTGAGAAAATGGAGTATTGAGACAATTCAGATTTAAATTCAAAGATTTGATAACCCTTAGCATATTAGTAGATAATTGCCAATATCATTAATATTCTCAAATAAATAGATCATATATATTCTATTCATATAATTATTGACTCTCTAATTTAGAAAAAATTTAGAGGAAGAAATCATAAAGGTTTTTATATTGGAAAAGTTTTTTGACCCATCTCAAAGTGATTTTGGATTTGCTAAAGTTATGAAAGCACAAGGTAGATATTGTTTCTGCTTGTGTAATTTTGTAAGACCGTTCTGAACTACCTAGATTTGTATTTTCATAATTAAGAAAGGATTTCCTTACCCCTTAAAATACCAAAGAATTCATATTAACTATTAAGTTTCAAAGAATCATATTATGCCTAATTTAAACGTTATCAACATTATCATGAGCTGCAACAGCGCTAATACAAGTTAGTTTTGTTGCTGTACGAGAAGAAAATTATAATAGTTTAATAATTGGGTTTCCATCAGCATTATTATTAAAATCTCCAGTGTCCTTAATGGTCTAATTGTAGATATTTAGGATTTGTGGTGGAGATGATTATTTCCTTAAAGGCTTTTTCTAGAAATCACAAGTTATTTTTGGCTAATAAGCCCCATCAATATAGAAATAGACCCTATTGTTCAAATAAAATTGTTGTTCTTGTTGAATTATCATAACTAAATAAATTTTCATCTTAGATTGGTACATTAATTCTTAAAGTAAGAGGCAAAAGGAAAATTAATCTATATTCTTATAACTGCGCTATTACACATTTTTATGAGTTGCAAATAATTTAATATGGATCTTTATGAGTATAAAAAATTAACTTCGTCATCCTCTAAAGTAATTAATAAGATCAACTGCCTTCAATAATACTAAATCAAATTCAAATAATTATGTGAGTCAATCCAAAATTTATTGATGTCCATTATTGAATTTCAACACAATAAAATAACAACCAGGTTTAGTGTATCAGAGAGAATATGCCCTCTAGCTATCAATAATAAAATATAAGAGATAATTTAATAAAGTAATTACTAAGTTGAGAAAATTAATTCAATTGCTTAAATTATTTACTATTTTCATAGAATTAATATGAATCCTTTTTCTAAGTGTAAAATTGTAAGATTATATGACACTTATCCTGCTGATTGTAATTAAAGTTCAATTAAATGGAAAGTGATATTGGATTAAAATTTAAATTAAGGGTTTTGTTTTAAATTCTAAACAAATATATTCTGGATTTTTAGTTGTTACTTTATTATCAGTTTATACAATTAATAATAATCTTATAATTACTAAGAATAAAACAAAACATATTCTGTCTTAACAAATAATGACTTTATAAAACTAGTTGAAATTTGTCTAAACTTCGGACCATTTGCATATCTTTGTTGAGAATTCAGATCAGGCCCATTTAAAAGAATGGATTGAGAATCCTTCTATAACTTAGCCTATCTGTTATTCTTTCCTTCATCTTTAAAAGTTGTTTTTTCTAATGGTAATATATATTCTAATGAATAGCAATAGACAATTTAGTATTGAGAAAATTTGATATGGGATTAAAGAATTAAAGTAACTCGCTCTGTGTGTTTCTACTCTTTATCAATTAAACTACAGAACCTAAAATGAAATTAGCACTAATAAAATATATCTTTATAAGGAATTTTGTTTACTGCATTTTAAACTAAATTAAAATTTTTTCATCATAAATAATAGTAATATCTCTCTGAAACAATCTTATGGTAAAATAGAATTTTAGAATTTTTGTCATCACTCTTCAAACATATACGAAAATAGAATAGACTACGGACTAAACGATGTGTCTATTCCAAAAAAGAATGTTCAAACAGATTGAAAGATATTTAGAGCAACAAAGAAAATCTTGTGTAATAAATGATTTTTCTAAATGCAAATTTGGTTTTTGAAATGAATAATATAAGAATTTTCAAATTCATTTTTCTCAGACATTCCTATTTGGTAATCTATTTTAAAGAACGTAAATAATTATTAGCTCACCCTTCATTTTAAATATAATCAGAAATCAAATAATAATGAAAAGCCAAACTTGCAAATTACTTTTTTAAGGATATTACAGTAAGTATGTTAAATTCTATATCCGCTAGCTACAACAATCATTATAGATGCAAATTTGTAAACACAATAAGCTGGCTAAAGCTATTTAATATTTTATTCTATTTGAAATAGTCATCCACCTTTATAAATATTGCTTAGTTTTAGTTATTAAACTTTGTTCAACATGACATTGTTACTAAAATTTTGATACTTTTATTAAACGTAATCAAAAAATTATTCTTAACATTCATAGATTTTATATATATTTAGAAGCACTACCTTAATTTATTCTGCCTGACATTGAGGCAGCGTTTTTGATTAACTGATTTGTAAATAATAGATCTTATGACACTTACAATAGAATTTTAGATGAAAATCTTTGTTTACAATAGCTTTTCCAAACATTTTTAATTATTTAAAAAAAAATTTCAAATTTTTGAATTTTCATACTTCTAAGCCTACAAAATGAAAAATGCAATTCAAATCTTTCTGAAAAGACAATCATGTTTCTCTTAACAACATTCAACCATTACACAAACAATTATCGTATTTAGCTTGAAGGATAATAATTCAGAAAGTTTTTGTCCTTCGTCGAATGATGGATGCCTCCTAAAGAGTATTTTATAATCAGAATGATTTAGATACGCTCTCTCCATACCTATCTTCTAATAATATACAGCTGAAGCACTTCCTAATGGAAAATAAAGTACCTCATTAATGTCTTCTGCATCAGCTCAAAAAATACAATTTGATAATAATCTGCTTGTATATGAGGATTCAGATTAAAAGTTTATTCCTTGTAATCTTACATTTGTGAAGGTAAAAAACCTCTTTAATGAAAGATGGTTGCTAATAATTATTAAACATAGTGAGGATGATATTTTCCTTGCTGAAGGTAGTTGTATTAATTGTTCAATTTAATTTACTAGTAAACATATAGAGTTGATAAATTTTATAACAACATAAATGTCAATCATTTTTGTGATGGTGGCTACGTCTTATGTAGAACAAGAGTGATATTTTGCTCAACTGTATTGAATTTAATTCTGGTATGTGTATTTTATCCTACAAAAAATATGCATGCGCCTTTTTTGGCTATTATTTTTATGATAATTCACTTAGCCCATGCAGTGCAAAACTGCATCTTACTGAAAAGACTTTTCAATTAATATACATTACTTGATTGAATTTGATTGAATCATGGTAAATTGTAAAATCGAATCTGCCTACATAATTTTGATGGGTGACAAACTATGTAGCAATAGTAATCACTGTTTGCTCCAGCTATTTTATATGTGTGTGTAGATAATGCATGAAGTTATATTGAATTTTATTTCAATGTACAAATTTGAAGTAAATATACATCACCATAATACTCCTAAATTATTTAATTTTTGAGATGAAATTCACTCATTTATACGATATAACCTAAGACTTGCGACTTTGTTCCTTAACTTTTTAAAAAGTAGACCAGCAGACAACTTCACTGCTTTAGTTGAAAATATTGTAATTGCATTAGCAGAATTGTATTTACTTTGTGAGGATCATCATCCTTGGAAAACTTCTGCAAAATCCCTAAACCTAGTTATCAATGTTACTAGTTTATTGGACGTTAACTTCATCTACTGAATTTGAAGGCATTAAAAAATAGAATAAATCATTATGTACGTGTTCAGCTTCTCGAACTAACAGTAAAGTTATTTTTTTTATAACTAGGTCTAAAGTTTGAAAATCATCAGTGATCTACTATGTAAATTCTAGTAGTCTAGTTAAGCATTTACTCCTAATTGGCTATTAGGAAACTTGTTAGATTTAACTTATTACTGATAATTCATATTCTCAAGTAACATACTTTTCCAAAAGTTATGATACTAGTACTATACAAATCAAAAGTATACTTCTTATTATATGGATGCAGTATCAATTGTGTTTAAACCTGTACCACTAACTCCTCATCATGAAACCAACTGAGAATAATATGATGGTGACTATTCTGGAGGATCTTGAAAGTCTAATTATGACACACCCTACAGCAAACATATAAGGGAATTCAGACGAATGGTTATTTTTTTGTTCTCATGGCAGGTGCGTTATACTTTGATACTTTTTCATCTTAATAGTCAGATATTAATATGAAATTTTGTAAATTTTTAGGAACTCATATGCTTAGATAAAACATAGTAGAATGAGCTAAAAATTCAAATTTAATAGAGTAAATTAAACTATCTGATTAAAAATCCATCCACTCAAATATATTTTGATTTTTTATAATGCTAGTTCAAATGCTAGTTATCATACTATTAATCGAATAAAACAAGACATTATTTCTTAATCAAAACTCTTGCGATCAATATTAGAGTTCCTCCATTTCTCTTACTGTCGCAGTATTAGATTATAATAAGATGTGTATCTGAATTAAATGTTCATTCATGAAAGAAATGTTTCAGATTCTTTCAGATAGTGCATATTCGCCTTAACCTTTTATTTTTTATGTCAACTATAACCAATATTATTTTGATCACCTTTTGAATACAATAAATATAGACGGGCAAATTATTGACTTGTTGGGATTAACTTTAGTACATCTTTTGTATTTATGTCTTTTAAAAAATAATAAAGAATTTAAATTTTATGTAGTTGTGTCATTAAATGTAATTAGTATAATTGAGATTGCATTTGTTCAGTATCAGCCTTATGAATGCGTATTACAACAAGCTGAATTTTTCGAGGTTGTAGAATATATATACAGAAATCTTTGAAGCAATAGTTTAGGCAATAATGAATATTCGTAGGTAAGCATCGAGTTGCGCATGAAACAAAATAATATCTTTAAGGGTGATTTTCTAAAGGATATATTCAAGATGCTTTTTATCAAACGGGCTACATTGCTAAACAATTATTATTAATGAATGCCGATAATTTGGTGATTGTTAAATCGATTTCTATTAGTGCCTGATGATTTATCATGAGTTATTGAAGAAAAGCAAGAATTAAATTATTAGGAGAAGATGAATTAAACTTCGATTCAAATAAACTATTCAGGCTTATTAGTTAGCATTTATGAAATAATACAAATTTAAAAGCAATTCTTTCCTTTATTAATGCCTTAACCAGAAGAGACAAAATTATTCATGTTGTTCTAAAAATGTGTTACAATGCCCAACCCCCCTTTCTTAAATACCTTCTCTAATCATTTACATTTATAAGAACAGATCAAGCTCATATTTTCTATAAAAATATTCCATCTAACAATTTTTTTTCATGTTTATATTCAACATTATAGGTTACTAATTTCTTATCATCAAATCCATCATCTTATTGAATCAACCTTCCAAACTTTATTCCATCACCTCCTTCATCATTCAATCACCAACCACTAACGAGATTCTTATTTAAAATCATTTAAAGTATATTTACATTTATATAATTGAATAATTCTAATTCCTTCGATAAAAATATTCCATAGACCTATTTTTTTTCCTTTCTTATATTCTCCAAGATAAATTACTAATTTATCATTATTATTAAATCCTTCTTACAATTCAATCCATTTACCTATCCGAATGCCATTACATTCCTCATCCTATTTTCCATCACCACTATTTCCTTTCCATTTTAATGCATTTATTAATTATTTCTTACATCATTCCAATATTAGTCGTATTTTAGATACCCATCAACACCTTTATATCAAATATCCCATCTCCGTATTTTTTACCATTTTTATATTCACCTCGAAAGGTGACTTATGATTTCAAGGTAAAATTATCACTAATCTCAATCCATTTTTCAATTTTATTCGGTCATCTCGTTCTTAAGATCCACCATCCTGATGCATTTGTAAAATTAGTTAATTTATTAAAGATTTTTACATCAATGCATACTTTTGAAGATTAAATCTTTGTCTACCTCTTTAAAAAAATATATCCAAATTCCCATTGTTTACAATTTTTATATTCTCATCTTCGCTTATAATAAGGTTATTATTTCATTCAACAAAATTAAGATTAAGTTGCTTTTTGAAAAAATACGAAAAAAAGAAATTTTATTAATAATTTATTTTTTTTATTATGATCAAATTTTGCTTTTTAAAATACAACTTCCTTTAGATTTAAATAATGAAAGTAAATTTACTCCTAAATAATTTAAAAATTCTCCTTTCAATATTAGAGCTCCTTAGACTTAAAAACCAGGATTTTTGGAAATTCTAAGAATTTTATTATTATTGATAACTAATTAAAATATAATTCGTACTATTTTGCTTCTATGCCATCATTTCAAGTGGAGCTTTCAATTAGGAAAGAAGACTGTTATACCTTTAATAAGAAGGTAAAATTTATTGGCCTGTCTTAACATTCCATAATAGGAAGGAACCGTCGTAACCTCCAGATGCTAAAGTAGTGCCGTCAGGAGAGAAACAAACATATTCAACAACATATTTGTGACCTTCTAATTTGGCTTTCTCTTATCCAGTCGAAATATCCCATAAACGGACAGTTTAATCTCCACTACCAGATGCTAATGTAATTCCATCAGAAGAGATAGACAATGATTGGACAAACCTCTTATGACCATCTAATTTTGTTTTTTATTATCCTGTTTGAACATTCCATAAACGTATGGAATTATCATCACTACAGGATGCTAATGTCATACCATCAGGAGAGAAATAGACAGATCGCACGATATTACTATGGCCAACTAGTTGGGCCTTTTAACATCCTGTCTTAACATCCCATAAATAAATGTACTGATCATTATTAGTAGATGCTAATATAGCACCATCAGGAGAAAAGCAGATTGATTGAACCGCATATAAGTGGCCATCGGATTTGGCTTTCTATTATTCTTTTGAAATATCCCATAAACGGATAGTTAAATCCTCGCTACCAGATGCTAATTTAGTACCATCAGGAGAGAAACAGACTGACAAGACACCAGAAGCATGGCCCTAAAATTTTGCCACTTATTATCCTGTTTTAACATTCCATAAACGGATTGACTTATCTCCACTCCCAGATGCTAATGTAGTACCATCAGGAGAGTAACAAATTGAATTAACTTCATTTGAATGACCATCTAATTTGGCTTTATATTATCCTGTCTTAACATCCCATAAATGGATAGAGTTATTTCTACAACCAAAAGCTAATGTAATACCATCAGGAGAGAAGCAGACTGTATAAACTACACTATAATGGCCATCTAAATTGGCTTTTTATTCTCCTGTCCTAAGATCCCATAAACGGAGAGAATTCTTACCTTTTTAAAAAAGTCCTCCACCACCAGCTCCTAACATAGTACTATCAGGAGAAAAGCATATTGATTGAAGATGATTAATTTAACCATCTAACTTAGAATTTAGTTTTCCTCTTTTAACATCCCATAAATATATAGTAGAATCCTCATCACCATACGCTAATAATTCATAATTAGAAGAAAAGCAAATTTATTATATATTTTTGGAATGGCCGGTTAATTTAGAGATTTTTTTCCCTGTTTAAAGATTCCATAAATCCACAAAATTCCCATTGCAAGATGCTAATGTGGTAGATTTATTTGCAAAGCAGACTCTTTTGCTCATGCTCCTTCCCTATAATCTAGAACGTATTTTTCGCTTTTTCAAGTCCCACAAGCAAATGGAGTTATCATTACTACATGAAGCTAATGAAGCACAATCAGGAGAGAAGCAGACTGAATTAACTTATTCAGCATGACCACTTAAATAAGATGGCTTATTTATTCTTAAATTTTTCCATCTACAGTTTATTAATATGGCCCCATTTAAATTTATATCAGTAATATCTACATTTTCAAATTCAGATCCACTCAAATTACATCTCATCAGTTCTGCTCCTATTAAATTTGTATGTTTAATCTTAATGTTTTAAAAATTTTTGTTTGTCAAATTAACTTTTAATTAAACTAATAAATAAAGTGAGTTCGATCCACATTAAATGAATCTATCATCTATGCTCGTGAGGTGCACTAAAAATATTAAAAATTTGATAATTTTTTACTCTTTTGATATCTTAACAATTAAAGCATTTCTAATTTCTTGATAAATAGGGTATGAATAATTGTTTAAAAAAAAATCACATTTAGTTAATTTTAGAAGAATATTAGTATTCATTTTCATGCTATTTTTTACAGCATCTATTCTCCACCACTTTTCGAAAGTTTAACAATTCTCAAATTCAAAGTTATATTCATTATAATGTTCTTGATATGAAAATTTTTAAAGAAATCCTAGAGAGTCTGAAACTTTTTCTTTTTATAAAATTTGAATTATTAAACTGAGTATTTCTACATCAATATCTTTTAGAGACTCAATAAACCAAAATAAACATTTGCCTTTTTTATTAATGCAATTCATTTTTTTCTTTTTTTTTTTTTAATTAAGATTGATTTTCTATTACTTATATTAAGTTTTATGCTTTTATTAATATCTGCATAAATATATTATTCGAAATGTTTGGTGAATTTTTGAATTTATTGTAGTTAAGAAAAATAGGCTTTGAGGGTGTATGGCTTTGTTGTCAAAAGAAAAAAATATAGAACAATAACCATAATCATAATTTTTGGTTCGAAAACATTTAAATTCTCTCTGATATTTGAAAAAGATTTAAAAATATTTCCGTTAATTCTATTTGGTAACGTCCGCCTTTGGGTTGGTCATGATTGGGCCCTCGTGCCTTGTACTTAGCCCCACCCTCCATCATTCAAAAGGTCTAATATTCAATTATTACATGAATTCTTCTAGGGCCTTTCTGGGCATACATTGGCCTTCTCATCCATCAGGCAATCCGTCATCCTTTTACATATACCTTCTCTATTCCTTACTCTTCATCATTCTCACACTACCCCACAATCATTACATCTAATAAAGGCAGGCATCTTATTTTAAGTATTTTATCACTTTTTCTAAAATCTTAAAAATTTAAGAATTCTCATATTAATTTTTTTCATTACTCCAATAGTTTTGGAGTTACTTTTCTGGATATATTAAATGTTTTAAGTCTTTAGAATTTTGCTTTGAAATTAAATCATTTATCCTGAGTTCACACCTTATTCAGGCTCATCTAGTAAATATAACTAACCTAACTACATTAAAGTCTTACATAATAATTGGTTTGTTAGGTTTTTAATTAAGATAGCGGTATTCTTAATTTAAATTTTACCTGAATTGATTTCCCTTAATTTTTGATTATAGTAGCTGTGAATTTTATTGTTTCGATGAATTCTATAATCTTAATATATATTTATGATTTTCATTAAGATATATCGATTCTTAGATTGTTTTCACGAAATTTTTCTTCTGATAAAAATAGAATTTTTATATATTTTCTTTTGAATCCTTTAAATCTGTTGATTTATTAATTCCAATAATTTTTAAAATAATTAGAAGGTTCTAAAAGTTACTCAAAACTATGAATGAAACTGAGATTGAGTTATAATACTCAGGAGAAATGCAGCACTCAAAAATTTATAAGCATAGTAGTTTGTTGTGTGTGTGATTAAATGATTCCTTCAAAAGGAGTATTCTAATTTGCTATTAAATTATTAAACATCTGAGATTATGATGGCAGTTATTATTATAGATATAGAAATAGAAGCAGAGTTGATATTAATAGTTCAAGTAAGGATCTATATAATATATATTATATAGGTTCATGTTTTAATAATGATGAAACCAATCATGAGAGAAACTAAAGAATTCGGCAAGGAAGTATGTGATATGAAAAAAGTAATCCAAAAATTAATCATTTAAATGATTATTTTAGTCTTTGACATTTAATATCCAAAGAATTGTATTTATGTGTTCAATTTCTAAGATCACTGCAGTTCAAAGATAATAAATAAAGTATTTCTAAAGAGGCCAAAATTATGATTGATATTTTGAATTTATATCAGTTTAGATTCATTAAATATAGCTTGCTCATATCTAAGAAATATTTTATATCGATATTCCACTACTCATCCTATTTTACCGAATTAACTGCGCTTTATTAGACAGTTGGCCTTAAAATTATTAATTTTACTATTTGAATTTTGATTTTTCTAGAGAATCTCAACTAATAATGTTGTATAATATCATTTAGAGGTTAGTGTTAATCTTAAATTATTAATCAAAAAATATATAAGAACTAAATAGAGATTTTATTGTTTATGTCTAATTCATAACTTCATACAGATTTACTTTATAAAAACTTACACCTATATTTAATTGAATATTAAAATAATTTAGTATAACATGTAAAATAAGACCAGCCCAAAATATTTATATTAAAATTTTGAATTCCTCTATGATAGATTTTAAATGCGTTAACAATCATCAACTGCCTATACTTATGGTAATTTTTGATCAAAATTTGGAATTCAGGCAAAGATTTCTGTTTTAAGACTGCATAAGAAGCTTATCTAGATAATTCTCAGCGATGGGATATGAGGTAAGCAGCAAGCAGAAGCACTAGACAGTGAAATTTAATTGAATATCAAATAAATTTAATAGCTAATAACGGAGATCAAAAAATTAAAATCAGCTTTAGAGTTTTAGTTGGAAGAAATAATCTCATGGAGCAATGGATAGATATAAATTTATTTTCTATTGAATAAGAATGCTCGAAATAAATTTTTCAAAACGAATTATAAAATTTTATTTCTATGTAATTAGAAAGTCAAAGCTTATTTATTAATGAGATCAATTAAGAGAATAGTTTTTGGAATTTTAAAATAAATGAAAAACTGAAATACTTTTGCTCTTTCTTGGATCAAAACTCTAAGTAAATACTGGATAGCCTATCAAAATATAACCTTATTATTAAAGCAGAAAATTTATGCCCATTGTAGTTTTCACAATTAAATAACTTTATAATCTCTTTTTTATAATAAACTGATTTGTAAATTGGAACCAATACAATAGCCTAAGATGGATGGGTTAAATTATAATTATTTGATAGCTCTGTAAAATAACAGAGTAATTGCTAAGCATTTGCCTTCAATAAATCTGGAACCCGAATGGTATCTTGATATTAATTTTTGGAAGGCAAATTAAGTTTACAGATCATTTTGACAGGTCATTATAATAAAATCTATTGCATTATCTACAGTAAAAAATCTGATAATTTTAATTCATGTTGTAAAGATAAACCATAATTTGTTGGAAGTAAATAGAACAAAATGAATGGAAAAGATCAAATTATTATACAGAGCATAATGGCTATATTCAGCAGGAGAGGATTAAAAATTATTATATGAAAGGGGATATTAACTAGAATGAGTTAACTCATATGTATACTCTTGAAACACATTCTAATTCTATTTGGGCAATAAGTTTGAATGAAATTGAGACAATCTTAATTTCCTGTAGAAATGAAAAATAAACAATGGTGTGGGAAAAACATTAAGGGATGTTTTATATTAAGTAAGTATTTACTCCTGTTTTGGATTGTGCAGGTTGCCATATTAAATTCTTGAATAAAATAAATTCATCTGGGTGACTAGCAGCAAAACATAAACTGCCTTTTGTATGAGGATGTTTATTATAGAATCCAATTAAATAATCCAAGAAAATACCTTGGATGTGCCTTATTCCCAAAAGTATATTTGAAAAAGATAAATGTTTTGATAGTATCTATAAAATCAATATATTTGATGAAGGAAATTAATGGTAGATTCATTATATAAAGTGAATTTAGATTGTGGTACTAAGTGGAGCATTGGTACAATTACTGATAATGGAAATAATTTTTTTATATATTTAGTTTTTTGGGACAATCTTAAGGTAGGATACACATCATATGAATTAATATGAAAATGTTTAATGATTAATTTATAAAAATTAGGAAAAAATTTTTTGAATTAATTTAGTTATATGATTAATTAAAAGTAGATGCCCTTTCTTGATATGATAATTTTTTTCTATGCAAATACAATGGAAATTTATAACAAAAAATTTGTGATTCATTAGGGAAGATCTGTCTCAAAAAAAAAATAAAAGTCTCTATTTTTAATTGGTACGAAACTTTAAGAAACAATTAAGAACAGTTTGAAGTATTTTCAAGATTAGAATAAATATAAAAATATGGTATGACAATATTTAGCTCATCTCCTTAGCAGGATAGAATAATATTTATTCTCATCAACAATTATATTATTATTTTTCTAGACTTATATCATCCATAATTTCTACTTTTCCTGGACCATTAATACAAGGATAATACTGGTAATTTGGATTAATTTCAAGGAGCTAAATCTTCAGATTAAACTTACATAAGATTATTTAGTAGATTTTTTTATCCATTTAATGTACTTTTATTAAATCACAACTTCTATAATAATAATATCATTATTAGTAAATTTGAATGGAATGCTAGCATGATATTTCTCTTGTTGATGATGACTAAAACAATAGCCACTACTCATTATAAGNATTTTGACAGGTCATTATAATAAAATCTATTGCATTATCTACAGTAAAAAATCTGATAATTTTAATTCATGTTGTAAAGATAAACCATAATTTGTTGGAAGTAAATAGAACAAAATGAATGGAAAAGATCAAATTATTATACAGAGCATAATGGCTATATTCAGCAGGAGAGGATTAAAAATTATTATATGAAAGGGGATATTAACTAGAATGAGTTAACTCATATGTATACTCTTGAAACACATTCTAATTCTATTTGGGCAATAAGTTTGAATGAAATTGAGACAATCTTAATTTCCTGTAGAAATGAAAAATAAACAATGGTGTGGGAAAAACATTAAGGGATGTTTTATATTAAGTAAGTATTTACTCCTGTTTTGGATTGTGCAGGTTGCCATATTAAATTCTTGAATAAAATAAATTCATCTGGGTGACTAGCAGCAAAACATAAACTGCCTTTTGTATGAGGATGTTTATTATAGAATCCAATTAAATAATCCAAGAAAATACCTTGGATGTGCCTTATTCCCAAAAGTATATTTGAAAAAGATAAATGTTTTGATAGTATCTATAAAATCAATATATTTGATGAAGGAAATTAATGGTAGATTCATTATATAAAGTGAATTTAGATTGTGGTACTAAGTGGAGCATTGGTACAATTACTGATAATGGAAATAATTTTTTTATATATTTAGTTTTTTGGGACAATCTTAAGGTAGGATACACATCATATGAATTAATATGAAAATGTTTAATGATTAATTTATAAAAATTAGGAAAAAATTTTTTGAATTAATTTAGTTATATGATTAATTAAAAGTAGATGCCCTTTCTTGATATGATAATTTTTTTCTATGCAAATACAATGGAAATTTATAACAAAAAATTTGTGATTCATTAGGGAAGATCTGTCTCAAAAAAAAAATAAAAGTCTCTATTTTTAATTGGTACGAAACTTTAAGAAACAATTAAGAACAGTTTGAAGTATTTTCAAGATTAGAATAAATATAAAAATATGGTATGACAATATTTAGCTCATCTCCTTAGCAGGATAGAATAATATTTATTCTCATCAACAATTATATTATTATTTTTCTAGACTTATATCATCCATAATTTCTACTTTTCCTGGACCATTAATACAAGGATAATACTGGTAATTTGGATTAATTTCAAGGAGCTAAATCTTCAGATTAAACTTACATAAGATTATTTAGTAGATTTTTTTATCCATTTAATGTACTTTTATTAAATCACAACTTCTATAATAATAATATCATTATTAGTAAATTTGAATGGAATGCTAGCATGATATTTCTCTTGTTGATGATGACTAAAACAATAGCCACTACTCATTATAAGATAGGCCCTAAATAAATATGTTTTCTTTACCCTTTACCTGCATCCTGTAAATTTAGATACCCGTTCTTAGAAATTATTTCTCTTGCTCCTATTCCAACCATAGTCTGATCATTAATGACATTATGTATAAAAAAAGCAAATCTCACTATGCCAAATTAAGGAATAGCTTAATCGCATAAACATGAATAAAATAGAGCGTTATTATAATACATCCTTCCATTTTATGATACTTCACAAGAAGGGTATTTATAAATTTTAGAAAAAGTAAAAGTGTTTTTACTAGCTAATGTATCTGAATTTTAAACTTATTCTTATTTTTGGACTGGTGGATTCCTAAAATAGATTTAGAATTAATTACTTATTTGAATTTAGAAATTCTTTCATTTACTTCTTCATCTTTTCATTAAACGCCTTAATTTCTTAACTCCACCAATCCTTCACCTTATCCAACTATTTCAAATATGAATTTTTTTAATTAGTCCAATTTTTTAATGTTTCTCCTTAGAAAATCCGTACTAATGCTTCTAAGTGAGTCTCTGATGATTCTGCAATATTGGCATTCTCATTTACAATATTCAAATATAATTTATTTTATATCTCAATCATATCGAATATTTATGTAATTGTTTCTTATAATTATTCCCAAATATTTTTCATGGCACTTAAAGTTTCAGACAGCATTGATTTAAAATTCAATTTCTATTTTATTAATTCAGAAGTTTCATCAAGTTTATATTCATTTAATTTAACTAAAAGTAGTTCTTGAAATATATTTATTGGAACTGCTTGTTTGGCGTCAACTCCGTGTTCGTAAATACATTGAGCACACAGTTTCCTTTTACATTAACATTTATGAGGAGCTACACAAATGCATGATATCTGACTCTTAGCGTGATAGGTGCAATTCATTTTTATTTAATTAATATTGAAGTTCTAATTATTTCTTTTAAATCTTAGATTTAGAATCAGAAAAAATATCTTATTACTTTAATGAATGAAACAAGTTAAATCTGAAATAAAATAGGCAATACAAATAAAATGAGAATTTGAACTGCTTGATTCATTAATTATATACAATTATTATAAACCAATTTTTATATTTGATTTATTCTCACTCTATATCTACAACTTAATTCTAATGTTATTCCCTACTTGATCTTCAATTTTGTTTCCTATTGATAAATCTAGAAAGAATAATTATTCAATTATTAGGGCACTCATTTTTACTTCTCCCTATATTTTATATAATTTTTCTTGAATGACCAAAACATCAATGCCAGCGAAATATTTTTCCTTTCAATAATAATCAAATACCATTAATTTTATTCTAATGTTTATGTAAATTATAAATCATATGGCTTATTAACAAAAAATAATCAAAATTTGTTTGTTTTAAACTAACCTTAGGAAATAAGTAGTTTCTCAAATTCTAATTATGAAATAATCAATTAACAAAAAAAACTATTAAGGTTGTTATAAATTATCAAAAAAGATGGCCGCCATCTACATATAAGTTAACCCATTTAATGCTGAAAAATTTTAACTTATACATGAGTTCTTTTAAAGTATTTCATATATCTATATCGACCATTATCCATATATTTAATTTACCTCCAAATTTGTGATTCCAAAGAGATTCTCGCTGTCTTAGAATTGTGTAAACTTTCCGCATCTGAATTCAAAGTGTAATATGTTGGATAACCGTTTTTGTCCTGTGGTTGGTCTTGGTAAGGTTACAAGGTAATTTTTTTGTTGATCATAGAATTTCTGAAGTTCTTCGTATAGTTGGGCTCTTGTACTTTTTTCTTATTGACTTGGCTATCCAACGTTAACTCAATTTTTAAAAATCTTTCTAGAACAAGATCTGCTAGATAAAAACTAAAAATATGAAAAATAAATAAGCCAATTTTATTCGTTTTTAAGGAAACATTTGCATTCATAAAATTGACTTAGAATATTTCTTTCTAAGATTTAAGAAATTTTTTTCAATCACAGTTTTATTTAAATTTGGATAAATATTAATAAAATATTTAAGACCCAAAAATATATTTTTTTATTGGCAACTAATAAATATGCACTAAAATTGAGAAAAAATATTTTTGCAAATTGAATAAAAGTCAGTAAGTACATAAAATAAGAAATTATCATGAAGGTCGAAATGGATTAGTCTTGTCCGAAATATTTATGATTATTTTCTAAACAACATTTACCATGTCAAAGAGATGACGAATAGCTTTTGAGTATAATAAAATAATTGAATCCGATCAAATTATAGTATAAAAATATAGGTTGAAGCTTGTTCATTTTGAAAAATAAAAAATATAGGAAATATGAAATTTCATTAATTAAAGTGAATAAAGAAATTGTAAAATATATGGCGAAGTATGGTGATAAAGAAAATAAAGTAAATAATTCAAATAAATGCCATATATTTGAAATAGTGGTAAAAATAAATGCATCAAATAAAAGGTGATATTTAATTGGAAAGGAAATTCAAGATTAAATTAGTGGATAATTTGAGTAAATAAATATATCAGTAGTATTTTGGATTATCTATTTTCTTAAATAACCGACATATTCCAATCTAAAAAAACAAAGTGATGCGTTAGTGTATATTATATGCCTTCTAAATTTTAATAGGTATATTTTTCTTCCTTTTATTTAACATTAAGCCTTTAGATATCAAAAAGCTGTCAAAATCTCCCTTAATATATAATGGCCTCCAATTTGCCAAATTCTTGGGCTTATAAACGTATCTAATTAGGTTTTTTAATCCAATAAAGCCATAAAATGAGGAACCAAAATAATAATGTTTATTAGACATAGTTCATAATGGAGACAGTTGGGTTTATTCTTTATCTCTTTGTCCTTACAAGAGACAGGATTCGCTGATTAATTTATTAATTACCTACTTAGAATTAAAAATATCAAAGGTGGACTGGAACATAAGGCATCAAATCTAATGTATCAGAAACTCCTTGTCTATATACAGAAAGTCTACTTCATTGCTAATAATCTCAATATAACTTGTCAAACAAGAGAAGCTTTATAGCAGAGGACAAATTTTTCTATCTTTGTAAAGTTCATATAAAATCATTAGCTAGCTAAGAAGGCCAATATGATGATAAAGGAATGAGGATTGGTAAATGCAAGGAATTAAAAATAAAGACATAGATTTATCTTAGAACATATTTAGTAATTAACATATCACGTAATTTATGAAGGAGGATGCATATGATAGCTACGAAAATAGAAATCTGTAAATATTCTAAGGTACTATTTCATAAAGAGATGGTGAAACATACATTTAAGAGTTAAGGACTGCATATGGATTAAAACGGATGAGTTATATTGTTAGTGCCAAGAATAGTATATTAGTCGTGTTGAAGTAACATTAAAATGGATAGTATCAAAGGAGTGTAAAATTAAAGAATAAAAAATTTAAGAAAAAGCTATGAATAGAATTAATTATAAATAAATGTATTTTAATAATGAGTTAAGAAGATTTAGTAATGATAAGGAAATAGTGGACAACAAAAAAAAGGGACATTCTCATAAAAAAAGATAAAAACAACTTTACTAGTAGTTAAAAATAAACATTTGGCTGACATAGCAATAGCTAAATATATTGATTAAAGAAAATCAATAGATATTTATATATCATAAACAGCCATTAGCATCGTATTATCACAATAAGTATTATTCTAGATCTATCCTGTTCAATATGACTATGAAAACAAATTAAGGTTTTATAATTAGAAAATTTTTAATTATATATATATTCTTATATAATTTACTTATGTTTTATAATTTTATCATTATATCCTAAGTTTCTCCCTATTTTAAAATTTATATTTTTAAATTATTCTGTTTGACTAATTCATAAAATATAACACCAGAAATCGCGATTCATTGGGATTTAAATATTATTCTCCCTCATATCATATAATTAATAAAAAAACAATTTAAATGTTTAATCCTCAAATAGATGAGATCAAAAATATTAGAAAAACAAAAATAAAGAAACAAGCACACCCAATAATGATTTGTTACAATATTTAGACAAAATTTCCTATTGAATTAACTTAAGTTTAATATACTGTTAATATCAAACCTGGTGTGGCAGTTGTGCAGATTGATCAAATTTATTCAACTGAGTAAAACAAAGATCAATGCGAATTAGAATACCTATTTACAATAGATCAAAACTCTGCTGTAACTAAGATGATTGTAGAACTTGGAGATTAAAAAGTTTATGGAGTAATAAAAGAATTAGAGGAGGCAAAAATAGAATATCAAAAGGGAATAAATGAAGGAAAGACAATGGTTCTAAGCGAAGAGGATTCAAAAATATCAAATATTAAAAAAGTAAAAATTGGTTGTTTAAGTCCTGGTAAATCTTTAAAGATTTAATTTGAATACATATAACCTTTATAGGTTTTTCTGAATTAATTTTGGAAATTAGAATTATCACCAATGGTTGATGTAAGTTATTTAACAGTTAAGGAATTAGAGAATATTTCTTAAGATTATGCTTAATAATACTCTTTTGTGAAACAGTATGTTGACACAAAAGCCATTAATTTAAATTACAAGTAAATCATTACTATAAATATTAACATGGAAAAACCTATTACGTATGCTAAGTCTCCAACACACTCCATAATGTTGAATTATAATAACGATAGGAAAGAGAAATAAATTGATTTGTAAACTCCGATTTAGTAATTGATTATTACTTTAAATATGAATGATCCAGAAAATATGGAACCAAATAAAAAGTTTGAATTATTATTTTCATCAAATGAAATTAATACTCCTTTTTCAATGCTAAGTCATACAAACAATGACGCTTTATAACATATCAAATATTGCGCTACTTTGACCCTCATTCCAAAATTCAATGAATTTCCAATAGATGATGCTTATCAATCATATTTAAATGGCTTAAACTTACCTTCACAGTCAAAGATATTAAAGGGCAGTTATATTTTTTTTATTGATCGTAGTGGTTCTATGGGAGGAGTTAGAATTCAAAAGGCTAAGCAATCTCTAATACTATTTTTGAAGAGCCTTCCAGAAGATTGTTCTTTTAACATAATTTCATTTGGTAGTGATATTAGAAAAATGTTTAACATTCCATAAGCATACAATTAACAAACATTAAATTAGGCAATATAATAAGTTCAAGAAATGGATGCAGATTTGGGTGGAACTGATATCTTTAAGGCATTGGTCTAGGGCATTTATGATGACAATTATTAAAAAATCAAAGATTACCCAGAAACTATAAATGCCTTTTTACTAACAGATGGCGAGGATTCACCAAACCGAATCCTTGAATTAGTTTAAGAAAACCAGAGACCTGAAACTCGTATTTATACATTAGGTATTGGGAATAATTGCAGTGAATATTTAGTATAGAGATTAGCTGAAGTTGGAAATGGGAAATGTTAATTAGTAGGAGATAATGAGGATATTAATTCGAAAGTCATTGATTTATTAGAAGATTCCCTAACTTAGTACTTAAAGGGATTCGCATTAGAACATAATATAGACAAAGTTTCACAAATTATTCCTGATCCAAAATCAATAACTTAATTAAAAAAGAATTAAGAATTAACCTTACAAATATTATTTTCAAAGAAGCATAAAAAGGAAAATTTAGAATTCAAAATTAACTGCTATGATCCACAAATGAATAAAAAAATCTCATTTGAAGTGAAAATGAATCTTAAAAGCTCCATAGAGAATGAATATTTCCATAAAATGGCTGCTCACAGATTGATACGGTATTATGAAAAATCAGTCTCACAATAAACCAAAAAAATGGATACGGTAATGATCAATTAAAAGTGCATCAAAGATTTGGATATCATAAATTTATCATTGTAGAATCAAATTCTATGTTCTAAAACAGCATTTATATGCGAAGTTTGTTAGGATGAAAAAAATCTTTAAAAATTGATCAAGAAAAAGCTTGCGATTGAAAAAAGACAATATGAAGATGATTATGATGATGATGATTACCCTACAAAAAGATGTAAAACAAAATTAGTACAGAAATCATATGATTGTCAAAATCAAATAAAAAAAATTGGAAAAAAAAGTGCTAGATGTTCGAGAATGAAATCGGATATTAGTAGAGATTATTACTAAAATTGCTCAATTGAAAATGAGGATTTAGAACTATGCAATTACTCAAATGTAGGTATAGATTTAGAACAACCCTGTTGCTTAATTTAAAGATAAGGTTTAGAATTACGCATGAATTCATCTGAATCATTAAAAAAGGATTAAAAATAGCCCAATAAATTTCTTCCCAAATAAAGTATCTAATGCTTTCTAAGGCCTAAAATTATTTATGAGGATACGCAAAAGCTATCATATCTTGAATTAATTGACTGCATATAGGCAAACGGTTGTTTCCTTTTAGAAATTCATATTGAAGAATAACTAAAATTAGGCAAAATAGATAATAAATATCATATAGATGATCCTTGTTGGTCAACAGTGGTTTCTCTTTTTTATTTAGAGTTATTTTGTCAGGGTTTTAAGAGCTCCTGGTAATTAATTTATAATAAAGCCATAAATTACTTATAAAAGAAAGGAGTAAATTATTTTTAGATAAAAACAGAATGCATTTCAGATTATGGAAAATTTTTTAGGAATTGAAATATTTGAAATACGATTACAATCAAAATAATTAATTTAATTAAGATCATTTCTTTTCTATACTCTTTAATTCCTATTATTGAGTCTATTTTTCTATTCTAAACCTCTCCACTAATCATTTCTATAACTACTTTTCAACTTTTTTATGCATTAGAATATCAATTAAGAGATTTTTTAGTAGGACGAGAGTCCATATTGTTTCGTAAAATAGTACCACCCAATAAAGCTTAGCATAATCTACTTTTCAGTATTATATTTTGGATTTACCCATTAATAATTTCATCCAGTATGGTAGATTCAACAATTATAATCTGCTTTTAGACAATTATTTTCATTCCTAAAAAAAGCCTAGATTTCCTTCCATGAGTTACCTAAAGGTGGAAATACAACTTGGGATCTAAGTTACTTTGGCAATTACAGATCTATTGTAGCCAATTATCTTAAAATAAAAATACAATTATGATATCATCTCTATTTGTTATTATTAGATAGAGAATTGAATAGCAAATACAATTATAAAATTAAAGATTTTATTGTTAATACAGATTAGACTCTCTAGTTTCATTAAAAATTAAATTAAATTATATGTTATCTCATTAATTATTAGAGTTTTTTTCGTTTTACTTCAAAGGGATGCTTTCAGATTGAACTAGTCACCTGCTTCTTTTTGCGATACTCTTTATTTTTCCCAAATGCATAACATGTTTGTGAATAGAGTTTCTCGACTTTTTCCATCTTTTGGGTCCAGTTCCCTGCCTCTCCCATTAGATCGTTAGAAAATATTTTAAAATGAATGTTACATTGTTTTTCATGGATTTCACGTCCCCTCTAGCTATGCTTCACATTTCGAAAAGTGGCCTCCTACTACGGTATGAATTTATTCTTCTCTATTTTTATATTCTCTTGTAATATCTAATTTTTTGAGGCTTAGCCGAAATTCCCTTATAAGTCCATGATAAAATAAATTTACTAATCCTTCTATAAAATCTTAACCTAAAAATGATAGAACTAAGATTACTAATATCATATTATTCTGTTGATGATTTCAGAAGATCATAATCAATCTATTAAGAATTTAATATTCATTTAGTTTAAATTTAGTTATTTTTATGGACAGGTTAAATTTTCCTATTTATTCAAGAATTTTTTTAGAAATTGATTGATTGTATTCTATTCATTACATATCATCATTATATGCCACGCCCAAATTTATCAATTTTTCCTTTTATACTACTTATTTTCTCTTATTCTCAACTTTATTATACTTAATTTCTACCTATTTATCAAGGCTATCAATTAAATTTTCTCTTTTTTAAGTTTTACTTTCAATGAATCCAATCAAGTTATTTAATTTATGAACAGCATAAAAGAGATCATAAGGTTTTCTATCGTCTTAACACTTTTTCAAGCTGGAAAAAATCTATTTTCTATGCAATACTAGATATAACAAAAAGTTTCTATAATATCCTTACGAATATCTTTTTAAAATATTAATTGTAAATTCCCTAGCCTCCCATATTTTAATATTTATTTATAGCCTGAGTTTACAATATTATAATTCCCTAAATACAATTACAGTTCTCTTTTTTGCGAAACTTTTTTAGAGGATAAAGTCATAATTTTTGTTCTTCTCAAATTTTAAAAGTAACAGGGTTAACTTTATGAGCTATATTTTCAGACTACAATACAAAAAATTAGTTGGCCCTAAATTATAGTCATTTGTGGATATAATATTTTCATTTTGAAATTAATTAATGATGGTAAGGGAAATCTTTATAGTCAAACTCAAAGAAATCATTTTTAAATTATGGAAGGATGTCGACCCTGAAATGAAAAATATAACGGTGATTTATTTTAATAGACAAAAGTAGAAATACTTAAAAAATTAATTATCAGGGCATGCAATTAATGGCTCAAAGGATGTAGAGCAAGAAGATTGAGTTGTTAAAGTTCATATTTGCTAACCTATTCATAAGATGAAGAGAATGAGAAAATTTAGTTCAAAATTTAGTTCAAAATTTAGTTTTCGATGCTATTATGATTAGATGCAAGAAATGAGGAAACCTCCAGTTCAAGATATAAAATACTTAAGTAATTAAAATTTACATGATTACTAGAAAGGTGACAAAATTTGTATTATTATCATATTAATTGTTATAAAATTTAGATAAGATCAAACATATATTTTGTAATTAAACTGAACTAATGTCAGGGGACAGCTATTAATGAACTTTTAGGAATGGCGATTGAACATATTATAAAGGTTGCGGACAAATATTAAAAATATACTTTTTTTTTAATAATTAAAAAGGAAATACCAAATAATGTATTTGGTTTTTTATTTTATGGTTATATACAAATGGGAGAAGATATTGATAAAATATTTGGATTTTTATTTCGGATAAGATAAAATACATTTGTTATTAAGTTTATTAATATTCACAAGATATTTTTATTAGAGAAAAAAATTACTTAAACTATAAATTAATAATAAAATTTTATATAGCATTTTGGTAATAGAAATATATTCAAATTAATACTTGTAAAGATTAAATAAATAAGATAATTTTAAAAAATTTATGATAAACAAATGATGCCTCATAACTTTTATAACTCATTTGATCCTTATTCCAACGCAGCTATGTAAAACTGCTTGGCTTCATTTGTTTTTCCTTATTCAAATAATGAATCAGCTAAATATAAATTAAATAAAATGATTTACCTTTTCTTTTTAACCTTAGTGGATTGATACAAATAGAAATTGCTTAATCATAACATAATATTGCCTCTACATATTTATTTAATTGATGTAATGCAAAGCCTAATTGATATTAAGTTTCAATCTACCTTTATTACTCAAAGCAACATCATAATGTTGATTAATCTCAATAGCTTTGTCGTAACACTCAATAGCTGCCTCGTATTTTTGTAAATTTAATAATGATTAGCCTAAATTATAATGAAATTTGATAAATAACTACCTTTATTGTTCCATGCCATGTCATATTTGGGATTAATTACAATAGCTTTGTGATAACATTCAATAGCCTCTTAGTATTTCTGTAAATTGTGTAATGCTGAACCTAAAGAATGACACTTAAAAATATAATTACCTTTATTATTCCATACCAGAGCATAATTAGGATTAATTGCAATGGCTTTATCATAACATAAAATAGCTTCTTAGTATTTCTGGATATTGTATAAGGTAAATCCTAAACAAACATACTTTAAAATCAATTACCTTTATTATTCCATGATATATAAAATTTGGGATTAATGGCAATAACTTTGTTGTAACACAAAATAGCTTCTTAATATTTCTGTAAATTGTGTAATGCTAAACCTAGATAATAATAATATTTAATTATAATTACCTTTATTATTCTATCCTATATCAGTTTTTGGATTGATTGCAATAGCGTTTTCATAAGCCAAAATTGCTTCCTCGTAATGCTATAATTTTTATAGTACTAAACCTAATAATAATGCTTAAAATAATAATAACCTTTATTATTCCATGCCTGATCATATTTGGGATTAATTGCAATAGCGTTATCAAAACACAAAATAGCTTCTTAATATTTCTGTATATTGTATAGTATTAAACCTAAATAATAGTTATCAAAATATTATTTAGGTTTCCATGGAATATGATATTTGGAATTAATCGCAATAGTATTTTCATAACACAAAATAGCTTTTTGAAATTTCTGTTAATTGTATAAAGCTAAACCTAAATAATGATATTTTAAAATAATTGCCTTTATTATTCCATCCATTATAAGCTTTTGGATTAATTTCAATAGCTCTTTCATAAGACAAAATAGCCTCTTAATATTTCTGTAATTTGTTTAAAGCTAAACCTAAATAATAATATCTTAAAAATAATTACCTTATTATTCCATGCCACACTTTATTTCGGATTAATTGCTATAAGTTTTTCATAAGACACAATAGCTTCTTAGTATTTCTGGATATTGTATAATGCTATAACTAAATAATAATAATAAATCCAAAAATAATTACCTTTATTAATCCATGGTATATAAAACATGGGATAAATTGAGATAGATTTTTCATAAGACAAAATAGCTTCTTAATATTTCTGTAATTTTTATAACGCTAAACCTAAATAATAATACTTGAAAATAATTACCTTTATTATTCCTTGTCATATTACATTTGGGATTAATTGCAATGGATTTATCATAGCATTCAATAGCTTCTTAGTATTTCTGCAAATTGTGTAATGCTTTGCCTAAATAATAATATTAAAAATACTAACCTTTATTATTCCATGTCATATTACATTTAGGGTTAATTGCAATAGCTTAGTCATAACACAAAATAGCTTCTTAGTATTTCTGGAATTTGGATAATACTAAACCTGAATAATACTACTTTAAAAATAATTACCTTTATTATTCCATGGGAGATCAAACATAGGATAAATTGCAATAGCTTTTTCATAACAAAAAATAGCTTCTTAGTATTTCTGTAAATTTTAATGAGAAACCTAAATAAAACTACTTTAACCATACTTACCTTTATAATACCATGGCAAACTATTTTTGGGATTAATTTCAATAGCTTAGTCGAAGTACTCAATAGCTTCTTAGTATTTCTCTTAATTATGTAAGTAAAAGCCTAATTTACTATGAAATTATTGATACCTTCAGTATACTTAGAGGAACAATCTATATTCCTCTGATTAGAATTATTTTTCATCCCACTCGATTTTTCAGTTATATTATCTTTTATTAAATAAAATTAGTTTAATCATATAGTTTCAGCTAATCAGATATGATTGTATCAAGGATAGTATTTAATTTGAATATCTATTATTCTATACTAATTAATCAAAAAGGATACATTACTCATTTTCTTTTCCCTTTTAATAAATTCGTTTGATTATGTTAATTTACGACTTAAAAGTCAAGTAATCTTTATTTTAAAGTTTTTAAGTTAATTGTTTCAATGTTTTTATATCCTAATCCATTTTCTTAAAACTTTATTCTAAATAATTTTAAAGTCGCTTAGACATTTCTTGGAGTTATTTCCTTGATTGATTCTACACTTACATGAATTCATTTATAAATTAAATTATTTTGGTGAATTAAATGCAATCATTAAAATGTTCTGAATGATTTGTTTATAAACATTCATAACAATATTCAGTTGTATTTTAACAATTCTGATTAAAACAAAATCCAATTATTTCTTTATTTTCATGATTAAGTTATTTACACTTAAAGGTTTCCATTAAGTTTAGATATAATTAAGGATTTATAAATAATTAATCTTTGATATTTAAAGATCATCAATTAATAATAGAAATCAATGACATCATTAAATTATAATAAGATATCATCAATAACATTTACTATATGTATTATTATTAGTAATTGTATTAATCTATAATTTTTTTGCAAATTATCTTTTGTCTAACTTAAAATAATTAGGTATAAACGATAGCTTTAGCAAAATGTTTAAGATTAAAGATTTAGAAATGTTTAAATATAATCTCAAGAGAACTTTGTTGAATATGTTCTAAGT